AAGCACCAAGATCTAATATCAATAGTAATAATTAATATTAAATATTAAATTATGTTTTAACAAATCATAAAAAAAAAATACTTCTTACCAAAAATATTCCAAAGATCTTTCACATAACTCATCCCTCCCCAAATAAATTGTCTGATTTCAACAATCATAAAAAATGAGCCAAATGCAATACAGGCCATCAATGATTTTTCCATTTTATTCTCAGTAAAGTCACCTGGATTACTAGTGGTAGGAATAGCAAAACTTAATAAAAATAATGTATAAATTATTGATACTGCTATGTGATATTTTCTTCCAAAATGATTCCACTTGTAATCCAAGATAAATTTTCCATTCCAATGTTTGTAAATTTCTAAGTTTTCCAATTTAACAAAAATGTTTGATTCTGGTATAATCATTTCCCATACAGGATTATAATTACTACTGTAATTCATAAATCCTGGGAAGGGAATTAAGAGCATCACACAAGCCTTTTCACTTTTAAGTTTACTAATGTTAAATACCCGCTTTAATAATAATGAAAACTTTTGACGTAAATAATTTCTAACAAATCTAAAAAAATATCTATAAAAATATAAATGCCAAATTTTACTAGATCGGAAAATGAATATTTCATGGGGTTTTGCTTGATTAAATAAACCAGAGAAAGCAATCTTATCATCAAATTGAAGTAACATTGCTGAATTTCGAACAAAAAATTTTGAAATTAATCTTTGATAACCTCCGCCTAATTGTGGTAATTTAGCAATAATGATTTTTAATAGACTGATATTTGATTCAACATCATATATAAACCATTCAAGACATGATTCAACCATTTCTTCTACAAAATGTTCATTTCCTCCATGTAATGCTCCATCTAAACTCATGTCTCCATATTTGGTGAGATAATAGAAATCTTTTGTCAAGTATTGAATCATCTCTCTATAAGGGTGGTGTTTAAAAACTTGATTTCGACTTTGATTTTGGATTTGATCTTTGCTGGTGTAATTTTTTTTAATTTCTTCAAAAAAATGATCAACATCAAATATATAACCTTCATAATCTTCTTCAATAGACTTGATGCTTTCTTTTAAACCTTCTATACTCAAGTTATGACTTTTAATATATCTAACATATATCAAATTTTTTTCTTCATCAACAGCAAAAATTTGTATATAATTTGTTGTTATTAAGGTCAGCCTATCATTAAATAACTTGCATTGAATGAATTCTTCTCCATATGATAAATCATATTCACTACCACTGTTGCTGTTTTTGTTTAAAGCTCTTATATTTATATGTTGACATTCTTTGTTATGAGTGATGGTCCATTTATAATCCTTTCCAATTTTAATGATAGGGTTTTCATATAGTCCTTTATTTTTTTCATTGTTGATGAATTCTTTAACCCTCTTTTTAATTAGTTTATCAATTATTTGGTCATCAGAAGATTCCAATTCATCAAGTATGTTTTTATATATTTTATGCAATTGTTGACTCACATAATAAATTTCATGGTTTTTCAATTTAAGCTTCTTGATTTTATTTAACACTGTATCATTAATAAGTTTTTTAGTGCGAATGTGATCATCAATAGTCATGACAATACAATCATTATCTATAATTGGTCCAAATATAATACTTTTATTCTTATTATCATCATTATCAAAAATATGTGTAATATTTATAGAAGTGTCAAGATTAAGATTGTAAGGGTCCATTAACACACAATTATTTTCTCCGTTTTCTTTATCAAAATATATGACTAACAAAAACTCCTTAAATTTTAATTTTTTTAATAATGCTAATTTCCCTTTTAATTTTGTCAATTTCTCTTTTTTCTTTGTTGATGTCCAATATGGATTCAAATTGATTTCATTGATTTTTTTTTCTAATTTTGTTAATTCTGTTAATTCTTCATCTTTAATGTTATTGGTTTCATTTTCTGTTAATTCTTCTTTTTTTGATTGATTCAAAATATCATCTTCACTACCTTTAATTCTATTGATTTTATTTTCTAATTTTGTTAAATATTCTTCTTTCTCTGGTTTATCTGATGTCCAATATTTTTCCAAAACATCAATTTCATCTTCTAATTTTGGTAAATCATCTTTTTCTTTTTTCATTGTTGACTGATTCAAAATATCATCATTGATTCTATTGATTTCATCTCCTAATTCTGTTAAATCTTTTTTTTTTCCTAATGTTAAACATTGATCCAAATCATTAATTTCATTGATTTCATCAATTTCATTTTTTAATTTTGCTAAATATTCTTTTTCTTTTTGATACGAATTTTTGATATTCTTGATATCTTTTTCTAATTTTATTAAATCTTCTTTTTTCTCTAATGTCCAATATTTTCCCGAAGGAATTTCATTGATTTTATTGATTTTACCTTGTAATTTTGCTAAATCCTCTTTTACTTTTTCTGTTGTTGATATTGAAATATTACCTTTGATTTTTTCGATTTTATTTTCTAATTTTGTTAAATATTCTTTTTCCTTTGATGTCCAATATTTTTCCAAAGAAGCTTTATGAATTTCATTGATTTCGCCTTCTAATTTTGCTAAACTTTTTTTTTTTTTTCTCTCTTCTGTCCAATATTTTTTTAAAGAAACCTCTTTGATTTTATTAATTTTATTATTGAATTTTGCTAAATCATCTTCTCTTACTTTTTTTGTTGTTAATTCCCAATATTTTGTCGAAATCTTATTAATTTCATCTTTTAATTTTGATAAAACTTCATCTGCGTTTTCTTTTGTTAAGTTCCAATATTGAGTCCAAATATCATCAAATAATCCTTTATTTGATTTTTCCTCCGATTCATCCACCTCACCATCATCCTTTTCCTCCTCAAATACAAATGTGTCATTTTTTACATAAATGAAATCTACTTTTTTAATATGAACTTTTTCCTTAAATTCAACTATAGATGGATTTATATTATATGTTAGATTATTATAATAACAAGAATAATATTAATTATGTATCCCTATAAAAAAATAAAATACGAATACAAAAAAAAGACGCGGGAAAGCGCACAGAACAGTTCGTGTAACAAAAACGAATTTCCGGTACTTTTTTTTTGCATTCCGTATTTTTATTTTTTATAGGGTATATAACAACTACTTACATGATGAAACTGTTATATTACGCTCTAATGAATAGACTACTAGCTTCGAATCTTGACGATAATCAGCCACCATCAATGCCTCTTCCGCATTACTTTTTTTATTAAGAACAATAAAATCATTAGATTTTAAGTAATAATTTTGTTTGTAATAGTAATTGCAACTGCCATAAAAATATTTATGACTCCTACGATCCCATTCCGATATCAATGAATGATTAGCAGCAACAAGAAAATATTTGTCATCATAATAAATTCTTGGGGTATCGTCACTATAAATATTATGTGTATTAAGAAGTTCGGCACGAACAGCACCTCTTTTATATTTCATGGAATATACTTTATACTTTTTTTCATCTCTATCGCTTCTTCTCAACATTATTAATTCCACTGTTTCAGAGTTCGACTTGCTATTGTTCTTAAAAATAACTTTTGTATGTTTTTCATTTTCAATTTCAATTTTTCCTTTTTCCTTTTCTTTTTCTTTTTCATCAATTTTGTCATTTTTAGTTTCCCTTTCAACTTTATCAGGATACCTGATGTGTTTTCCATCTTCTAGATTGAACAATACTAAAAAATATATATATATTAATATTGTTGTATTTTTTTAAAAAACTAAATAAACTAGAAGTAATTACTTACTGCAATATTCACTACCGTCTATTTTTATAACTGCACATTGATTATCAGAAACTTCATCGATATAAATCTTGAATTTGTCTTCATTATTAGTAGTAGCCTTGGTTTTGTCTTCATCATTAACAATATTGGTTTTATTATTATTATCAAGAATTTTAAAATTTTTATCAAAATTCTTGGTGTATTTGTAAGTTTTAGAACAACTTAAAGATTTTCCTTCAACTGTCCATAAAATGATGATTCCACCGTTTTCGTTTCTACAATGGGTCACGATACATTTATGATTGGAACTATACTTCATTTCTTCAATATAGTCACCACATTTCCTTTCTTGGTTAGGCTCGAGTTTTTCTTCATTATTAAATTCGTTCCAACCTAGTTTTTTAATGTCGGTCAGCGTTAGTGTGCCATCATTGTCTTTGATCGGTGTTAGCGCATCACCATTGTCTTTGTCGTCGTCATTGTTTTTATTTGCGTTGTCATTGCCATTATGAGAAATAATTTCTTTAAGTTCACTTTCTTTAATATCATCACTCATTTTTTTAATTAAAGAAAATTAAAAAAACCAGTCGAGTTGACAATGTATTCGTTATCATTATCCAGTTATTATATTGCAAACCAATTCATTGTGTGTATCATATTTGGTATAATGAATTCCACAAAAAGATGATGAATGATGTGTATTTCTTGTGAAGTACGACATTAGCGAGTTAATCAAATAATCTACATTATTAGTGATAGGCGTAAACCCATTCATTATGTGTATTATATTTGATATAATGAATTCCACAAAAAGATGATGAATGATGTGTATTTCTTGTGAAGCACGACATTAGCGAGTTAATCAATCAAATAATATACATGGGTGTAAAAATTATTTTGAAAAATATCCGAGTTATTAACTCTATTGGTGACTTATTAAACTTGCAGATCTTTTATCGATTGCAAAAATTATTTGAACCTATCTATGGTTTAATTTGATGACAGTGCATGTGGAGTGTGCGTGCTAACCAAATATGGTTAACACGCAAATTCCGCATGCTGAATCCTATATATACTAATAGGGATTGTTTGGCAAAATGGATCTTTTTTGGATACAACAGTTAATAACTTGGAATTATTAAATGCAGGCTAAAAATTCCACTACACATTATATTTTATAATAACAGGAATAAAATAAACAATGCTCCCGTATAAATCTTTTTCTTGGTAAAATTGGTTGAGGGATTACGAATTAAAAAATTCAGATCATGTTGTACCACCTTCAAACAATTAAAACAGATCCCAAAGAAGGAATAATAGGACAAATGTTCGGTATTTAGTATTCTATTCCACAAATAACTGGAACGCTGGAATTCCAATGATTATCCTGGTGTTAATAACAATTTTTTTTAAAGAAATCTTGATGGAAAACCAAATAATTTATTTGTTTATACCGATAAAAATACAAGGATAACCAGAATAATTGTAAAGGATGTGCAACAAGAGGATTCAGTAATGCTAAAACAGAAGCTCGGATTTAAACACAATAAAAAGCATCTTGAAATAAGGGACGTGGTGGATATGATGTAATTTTATTTGGGGGAAGGGTCTTAGTTTAGATGCTAAAAAACTGATGACACGAATCAAAAAATGGAAATTTTTATTTTCAACGTATATACAATATCTGAAAATAATTATTGCTTTTACTTTTTTGTTTTCCAGGATGTCCTGATTTATAATGTAGAGTAAGAAACTTTAATATTTACCACAAATCGTAAACAGAAATAGATGGACAATGAACATCAGATTTGGGAAATATTTCGCCGTTGAGAAATTTTAGTGCATGAACAGGATTTAAATAATGGTCATCAAGTGCCTTTATCATCGGAGGTAAAAATCTATTATTTGCCGATAAAAAATCTTTAGCACTTGTTGCCCTCCACTCTCCACAACATTCTTTATTACTACACTTTTGAATATCTAATGAGTATTCACATAACTTTCTATGATTTTCTATTCAGGACCATAGAACATCTGGATGGTCATCTTTATTATATTTTCAATTGATATGATTGATATTTCATTTTCACAAAATAGAGGATTAGTTTTTTCATCAATGTAAGTACAATAGACAGACTTCCATTAATTTTATTCTTTTGCCATAATTCAGATAGTTTTATTCCTCCATGTTGAAAATTTTTTTATTCTAATTCTTTATTTATCAAACCTTGTTTCAACGAACCCAAGAAAAATTGTGAAAATTTTTGTAATGCGAAACAAATTTGTTGAGGGAATCAACGTAAATAATTACGTCATATCCGTTACGTTCCTAATCAAACAAAAAGAATTCGCCAAATAGAATATGCATTAGAATAATAGATAAGAGTTTTCCTTTTTTATATATGTACATATTTATCATGCTTCCATATTTATATTATTTATATTATTACAAATAAAAAAATAAAAAAATTTCATTGGCTGAATTCTTTGAATTCCGATGTAAGCTTGTATTTCAATGTGCAGTACCCGTGAATTATTATTACTACAGTATCAAAGATCTCTCATCTTTTACTCAAATACAGTGTGTTACAAAAATAATTACGACGTAAATTTGTTTTCCAAGAAAGTAGCCAAATCCAAAGCCGCAACATTACAAAATTATATCAGAGGGTCAAGAGATTTTAAACTATTGCACGTAAAAATTTTGAAGCTTATTATTATGTAGGTTTTAGAGCAATGATTAAAAAACTTTACATTAAAATTTTTCTTTTTAAAAATAATTGAATATCCATAATCCTCAGAATTTAAGTTACATGTTAAAATTTCAGAGACAAAAATTTAAGAATACATGGTTTTGATCTGTTGAGTAATTCGATTTGCGCAATTTTTTTCATAATTGTAACCTTTTTTCGAATGAAAAAAATCAGGCTGTATTCTGAAAATAGATTTTAAAATAAAAATCCACCTTTTCCTATTAGAGTGCCATTTTGTTATCTGCATATTTTAAATAAAAAAATTATTATTGAGTTCTTGTATTGAAACATTTACATAATACATTACTTGTTTGCAATATTTATTAAATTAATACTAATATGCATGATCTAGATCGTTTCAACGAATCTATGGGATCAATCATCTAAATTCGTTGAAACGAAACAAGAAAAAAATTTTATTAAATAAAAATATCATTTGTTTTGAATGTAAGTGTTGTCTCTTTTTTTTCCAATGAGTTAAAGATTAGAACCGGTCAAAAAAACTTTAACCGGTTAATTATGTAAAAAAAATTTTTTTTAAGAAATATTTGTTCGTCAAAAAATTTATTATTAATTGACGTTACGTGTGAATAAATGAGAAAGATCGGCGTCACTTGTAAACTTTATTCTTTTTATGCATGTACAAAGTAAATCTCAAAGAGTAATATATAATGGCTTTCTGGTCCGCGAATGAATCAGAGGATTCGGCGGTGACAAAAACTGTTAATTGTCAACCTTACACAAAAAGTTGCATTATACTTTTGTGTCACATGCTGATGTGGCTTTTATAGTGTGATTAAGAAAACTTTTATGTAAGAAACGCAGATTTGGATAATTAAGTTGCTAATTGTTAACCTTTGCACTAAAAGTCATATTATTCTTTTTGTGCCACAGGTGATGTAGCTTTCATATATAAATTAATTAAACTCAAAAAAAGTTTTTATCTAAAAACATATTTTAAGTATGATAAAAAAACTTTCCTATGTAAGAAACACGGATTTGTAAAATTCTAATTAAATTGCTAATCGTCAATCTTTGCACGAAAGTTGTGTTACTATTTTTGCACTATAGAATGATATCCTTTTATATATGAATAAAGTAAATCTCAAAAAAATTAATATAGTTTAATGTAGTAAAATACGATTATAGAGTTCTTGCACAAATAAATTTGGGACTTTTTCACTGATTCATTCGCGGATTGTCAATTAAATGTTTCTTGAAAACTTTTATATGTAGGACGTGGAGATTTTGAGTTTAATAAATTTTTTAAACCTTAACCAACATTATCACCAATTAGAGAGGTTGGACCGATTAGACAGTTAAGCGGTTAAAATAGGTTAAAATATGGATCACTCTTAATTCGTAATTTGAGATAAATGGAAAAGATTGATATGCATTTTTAGCCAGAATTTTGAATGGGTTTTTTAATTTAAAATTAGTGTTGGTCGCCAAAACTATTTCGAAGAGACAAGAATCAAAACTAAAATTAAAAGTTTGTGTCAAAACTAAATCAAAAGTCAATAGTCAAATATCAAAACTGGTTTCGACTTTCCGCACAGTTGCGAAACTCTCTAGTTTGGAATCCAGCACTAGTTAAAATAACAAAACGTCCCACTTTATTTGTAAATCTTTGTTTCAGTAGGTGAAATGAAGCCACATTCAACATTACTGGCTAGATGCAAGAGAATGGAGAGTACAACTAAATTGGTTTACTACCTTTTGAAATCTTTGAATTATAATTTATTAATATATTTGCTTTAGTGTTATTATTATATAGTTTATTGAAAAAATAATAAATATAATAAGAATTTAAAAGAAATTTTATTAAATCATCAAGTAACAACATATTAACATTTTTTCCAAAATATTTTAATAGCATGAGACATTGTTAAAATCATAATTTTTATATAAAATACATTGTTGCGTCATTTTGATTTGATTAATATTAATCTCTCTTAAATTTTTGACAAATAAATTAACTGGTTAAGTCCTTAGTTAATCGATTCCAATCTCTGCTCCATATGACAAAAGAACAACTATAGGAAGAAAATGCGAAAGTGAAGAGACTCCTGGTAATAAAGGAGAAGAAGAGTCCGGTTCATCAGAATATGAGGCCGAGAAAAAAAACAAATTATTGGAAGCATTTTTAAATCTTCAAAAATCGAGATAGATGATGCGGGAGTCAATTGGTCAAAATTGCCAAAATTTGGAAAGTTCAGATTTATTTTATAAAAATGAATTTGATCAATTAAAACGCATTATCGATATTTAGAAGATGAATTGGATGGAAATATCATATTGGAATCGTCAAGTCAAACTTCACTATAATGATTAAATACAATAATTTTTGAAATGCCAACTAATATTTCTAATAGATTGCTGGAGAATCTAATGGTCGGTCGGAAAGGGCCTAAACCTTTCACATTAAAAAATTAACAAAATCTGGGATTTTAAATTATTGATTGTTTTGTTTATCTTTAACAGTCAACAAGCATATTAATATAATCCCACGTACACAAAAAATAAAATCGAATTCCTTTATACTTGAAAATTTTCTTTTCAAACAGATTTTTCATTCTAAGAGAACTTTTTCAACGAATGTGATATTACTATTATGTGGTGAGAAATTTTAGTGCCAAATTTTGAATCTTACATAAGATTAATAAGCGTCCATAGACAAAATAAAGAAAAAAAAAACCAATATCAAGTGAAATAATGAAGAATAATAATTAACATCACATGAAATTACAGAGAATGTGACCATACGTCATAATTGACCATAGAGACAAATGTGAAATAATCTACTGTATTTTTCAAATCGATAGACTATTCATTCAAAAGCAAAAATTTCGGAAGTATCTATTAAAAGAACATTTTTTTGGTTTGATAGAAACAATCTAAGCAAGAACCTTGAGTTTGGTAGAAATATCAATAATTTGATAGTTTAACGCTCATAATCCATAACCCTGTGTTCTGATTATAACACGTGTTTCTAAACTTTTGTAAAAAAAAAAAAAGCATAAATTTTAAAATTTTTTTTACCAAAACCTAAGCTACATATATAAATTTAATGGGAACGTGCATAATAAATTTATCGTAATAAAACGTTCGGTTCACTAGTAAAAAAATAACAAGAATAATATTAATTATGTATCCCTATAAAAAATAAAATATGAATAGGGAAAAGATGTGGGAAAGCGTATTAATACGGGCTAAGAAGCCGTAATAAACGTCATTTAATACTTAATATTAATATTAAATTTAATTTGTATTATTATTTAATATCTGCCGATATCGAATGTTGCGATTGTATTTATATATGTATAATAATATATTCAAAAAAAATTTTTTTGCAAAGGTATTGTTCTTTTGGGCCAATTGACATAAATATATATATATAATTCTTTTTCTTGTGGAATATTATTTGGCCTTTGACTTGTCTTTAATATTAAATTTTTTGTGTCAATTCGACAAAATCAACAGACAATAAAATAATAGATGATAGTAGACCATTTTAATTGCATTTATAGCAATTGGCACAAAGAACTTCGATTAATTTGAAGGAGGAGAATTAATTTTTGTCACTTATATACTTATATTATTAGCTTATTTAAGCTTATGCTTTGGTTATTATTATCAGCTGCCTTTAAGCTTATAAG